TTTCCAAACACAGATATCACAAGAGGCTCCTGAATCGCCGAACCAGTAATCCCTAGGGTGGTCACGTTCGCATTGTCCGGCGACTTTCCAGCGGGCCCAGCGGGGCCACGTTCGAAGCGGGGATGGGAAAACCCCGATGGGTCGACATCCCCCGCCAGGCGGTGGCTCTGGTAGAAGGGCAACAAGCAACAGCGCCGAGCACCTGGGCACGCAGCACAGCCTCTGCATCTGCACCCAGATGCGCAGGAAAATCTCAACAGCGATGTCGTCCAAGAAGGACCAGCGCCGAGGGTGCAAGCCGCAGACGCCGACCGCCGTGTGCGTGATGCACGTCCTAGCGAGGGCGAGGAGGTCCTCGTGCGCGCGGGGCTCTAGCTCGGGCCCCTCTCTGCACCAGCCGAAGTCAGGATCGGGGAACTCCAGACCAACGCCCCAGTGCTCATGCCAACCTTGGGCCCGAGCTTCAGCCTCCGCCATAATCCCTAGATGAGCACCATCGGGCCCAGCGTAGCGAGACAGCCCAGACACAGCCCACTTAGGGACATCCTTGGTGAACCCGTGGCCCAAACGGGCCCCTCCTGACAGGGCATCAAGGGCCCGCTCCCTCCAAGCGCGGGCCCGCTCCGAGGCCGCGTGGGACTCGTGCTCTAGGGCCCGCTTGCGGACCTGCCAAATCAACTCATTAAGCTCAGCCTCGCTGCACGGGTCGACAGCCACAATGCGCAGCCTCCAAAACTCCCAATGCTTGCAACCGATGAACGGGGCCTGGTAACCCACCAACTTCTTCGAGAGGACCCCAGACTGCTGCATCCCCCCCAAGGTGGGCCGAGGCCCGTGCCAAAGGAACGGGATATCCTGGAGCCGTCTCTCCAGCACGCGCCACATCCGACCCTCGCCAATAACCCTGGGATGCGTCGAGGCTGGAGGGCCTAGCAGAGGAACCTGGGCCACCTTGGGGGGGCCTCCACGACCTCGGTATCTAGGTTCAGCATCAACTTGCAGAACCCGAGTGAGCGCCGCCAATTCAGCCCTCTGAGCCCACTCGGAGGTGACAGTATCCAGGGTATCCTTGGACATCGGGCCCTGGGTCAGCACTCCTCGTAGGTCTTCCCGGTCAAGGGGCCGAGGTGCGCAACCAAGAAGTCCATGCAGCAGGAGGGCCGATGGTTTCTTCAGCCCGGGCACCATCATCTGCCTAGCCCCCCACGCATGCGCAAGACAACAGGGCGGTGAGGACGCGCGCATGTCGCCCAAGTCGCCACATAGCAGCTGTCGACAAAAGGCTCCAGCGAGCTAGACTTCACAAAATAGTCGACGATCGGCCGAGAGGTTCCTGGCCAGCATGTCCAGTTGGCCGCGTCCGACGCCACATCTGCCTGCAAGTCCCCCACCCAACCCATTTCAACCAGCTGCTCACCAGGGAGCTGAAAATCGTCTCCGAGTATAAATGGCATACCATAGGCCCTAAGTACTTCTCCTATGCTGTGCAGGAGCTCGATATTCTGACCCCTGCAGCCGGTCCCCGCACGAAGGTAAACCGAGCCGGCAATGACGCCACCCCTGCAAAGGCCACTCCAGAGGCCTAAACCAAAGCGGTGCCCAGGAGGGAGGGAGATCCCCCGGGGCAGCTCGCCCAAACCCTTGAGGCCCCAAAGCTTCGGCGTCGCTGAGCCAACTCCCCCAGACGTGCCAGACTGGAACGATCCGATGGCGCCGCCGGAGTGAGGAGCGAATTCAGCCCAGCCTTGACAAGAGCACGCTGTGCATCACCCAGTCGCACCTCAGGCTGGCCGTGCTCTTGAAACAAATATAGGTTAGACTCCACTGCGCCAATCAGGTCGATGAACGGCCTGCGCGTCTGCTTGGGGCCTGCGCCGCACTCAACTCCCCAAGAGGTAACATCTGACGCGCAGAATCTCCGCATATCGGGCCTCTGAGAGCGCTGCGACGTCCTGACAATGTTTTTTTGTTTTTAATTTTGCGCAGCAATAGTGGGGGACGCGGGTGCATGCCGATTTGAACCGGGGAGGCCACCCCCTGGATTTGCACAGCTGCTGTCCGAAGACATAGCCTGGGAGGCCACCCCCAGGTCTTGCGATCTGACGCCAGGCCGCGCCGCGGCAAGACGAGGAGTTGAAAAACCCGTAGGCGTGGACACCGAAGGAGAGGAACCGACCGTCCCCGACAAGGTACCTGGAGCCCCCGTGGAACCCGTAGCACCCGTGGAAACCTTCGTCGGCGCCAGACTTCCAGATGACGCGGTGCTCTGACTCGCGCCTGCCCCCAGCCCAGGGAAATGCGCATCCCTGGCCATCTGGGGGGCCGCCCCCACGCCCCCGACGTCATCGTAGTAGTACCTGGGCCCAAGGAAGCGTCCGAACTCGTCAGTGACCTCCTGCCCCCCACGCCAGATAGCTGCCGCAGCGTCGCGCCATGGCTGAAGATCGCCAGCTTGGGCCAGCTCGTGGAGAAGAAGAAGCGCGGCCTCGCGCCTCGCCCTCGCGCGCTGCCACGCCCCCTGGCAAAGGCGCCGCGCCGCCTCCACCGTCACCCGGCGACTGGCCACAACGTGCTCGACGCAGTTGGGCATCCAGGACGACTCGCTGGCCATCGGGCCCAACAGGTTGCTGATCCACCTGCTGGCCATCCGCGCCAGGCTGTCGCAGATGCGTTGACGGTCAGCACGGGTGCCAACCCCCCCCCTTGAAGCTGATCCCCGTTCGCGGAACACGATTGAGGAGGTCTCGGACGAGGCCGGCTTGCGCGCGGGCAGGAGGCCGCGACGACAAGGGCGCCGACCACCCAGTCGACGAGGGCGCCGAGGTCCACGCGGCGCGCACTCGCACCAGAAGGGCGCCAGCGATCCCCCCCCCCCCCCCCCCAAAGGCCATCTCCACGCGGTAGGGGGGCGCAAACCCTGCCGACGTGGGAGGTCACATGGGAGGTCACATGGGAGGCAGTCTCCACCTTCTCAGCCCGACAGGGGCCGACGCCAAACGATGGCCCAGCCGACGAAGACGCCATTGTCCACGCGGCGCGCACTCGCACCTGAGATGCCCCAGCGATTCCACTCCCCAGGCCGCCCCCGCGCGGCAGGGGGGCGCAGGCCCTACCGCAGCGGGGGGTCACATGGGAAGCGGTCTCCACCTTCTCAGCCCCGCAGGGGTCGACGCCACGCGAAAGTGCGAGTAGCCGAGGAAACTGGAGTAGAAGGGGGCCACCGAACACGACCGCGCCTGCATCGCGCGCAACTCCCACCCACACGAAAAAGTGCGGACAGGCACTGCAGCTGGCACCAGAAAGCCGAGGGAAGGCCACTCAACGTCGACCGTTTTGTCGAGCTAGTACTGCTGCACGTTGGCCATGCCGATCGCGCTACCCAGGTGGCGCCCCTGGGGCTGCAGCCGCGGCAGCGGGCGCCGCTGCTGCGGCACCCCCGCCCCCTGCAGCAGGAGCCCCCGCAGCAGCGCCCGCAGGGGCCTGGGGCTCGGCCGCGGCGGGCGGCGGGTCGCCACGCCGCGCCCTCTTGTTGAGCGCCGTGGGGGTGTCCAAGAAGCCGAGCATGGTCTTGAACAGGCCCTCGCGCTGCCCAGCGCGGCCACCTTGCAGCAGCTGCGCGAGCTCGTCCTTGCACGCGTCAACGGCTCGGGAGTCGACGGCCATGCCCTCAGCGCCCGCACCAGCAGCTGCACTAGCGTGAACACCTGCAGCCGCCTTCTGGGCCGCCGCCTCCGCCTCCGCCCCGCGGCGTGACTCGACCTCCTGCTGAAAGAGATCCCTATCAGCCGCCAGAGGACCCAGGAGGTCTTCAACCTGCTGAAACTTCGATGCCCAGGCATGCTTGAACTCAGGGGGCATGTGGCCAAACAGCGTCTCCACAAGCCCATGGATGGCAGAGTTACCCTCAGCGAGACAAGCACGTCGATGCAGCTTCTGCAGCTCCACCTCTTGAACTCTCGCCGGCTCCGCGAACTGCTTCTAAGACTCCACGCATTCCTGGAGGGCCTGCTCCAGTTCCTCAAACCTCTGGCGAACGGAAGACCCCGTGGCCTTGGCGGCCTGTAGCTGGCTCTGGTAGTGGGCCAACTTGTCCTGATGAGAACGAACTCGACTCCAAGGTGCACCACCCTGGTCAAGATCATCGGCAGAGGGCGCGAGGGGAATCTGAGCCTTGGCAGCCACGACCAACGGATGCGTGGGCTCCAGACCTGCGAAAGTGAGCTGCTCAACTGCTGCGGACAAGTGTCCCTATTTGGCAGCCCTGCTGTTATCACTCCCTTCCTCTTTCCCTTTCCCTCGCGCGGCTGCTACCGCCCCACTCTTGTCGGGCCCTGGCGAACCAGACTGGGCCGCGGGGGCAGCATATTGGTCGGCGATATTGCCACCCTTGCGGCCCTTCTTGCCATTGCCGGCCAACTGCCATGCGTCCTGCGCCTGCTGCTCACCTGATCTCCACGGGCGAAGTGCTCATTTGACAATATCCCGAACAGCAATATCACGAATCCATTTCTTACAGCGAAAGCAGCGGCTCCAGTCCACGAGGTTGTACTGGTAGCCGCACGAACTCTTGCAATGACACGCTTTGCAACCACTCTGAGACTGGTGGCGTTGCGGGCGTGCAGGGCGATCCTTCGGAGGATCGGAGACAATGCCGCGCGCGCCCGCGCCGAAAAACCTCGTCTGGCCAGGCAAACGAGGGGCACTGTGGGGGCCGCTGCACCCCCTTGCCAGTGAGACCAGGTCCTACGCCAAAGCGGCTACGGACTTGAGCCAAAATGGCATCGGATGAGGATCGACGACTTCCCCGAAGCACAATGGGGGAGGGGGAGGGGGGAAGGCTTCCCAGAAGGAAGCGAATCACTTCGAGGACGCCGGCCCCACAACTAGCGTCTGGCGACAAGGTCCGCGCCCTCGCAGAAGCAGGGGTGCTTCTGAAAAAGCCCCCCCTCCTCCACAACACCCCCTCGCTGAGCGTGGGTGGCTGCTTCCCCTCGGGCCACCGTCTTGTCGGTGACGCGCCTGCCGCCCGCCTCGGCCCCGTCCTCGGCGACGGCCTCCGCCTGCCACGGCGGCTTCACCGAGAGGCCCAGCGCATCGGCGGCCGCCGCCATCCCCTCGCCGCCGTTGGGCCGCCTCTGCAGGGGAGAGTCGGCTGGGGGGGGGGGGAGGCAGGTCCTGAGGGACACGGGGCCCGGACCCTCGGGCCGTCCCCCGGGGAAGAGACCTCCGTCGGCTCCTCGATCCTCGCTCCATCCTTGATCCTCGATCGTCGTTCGAGGAGCAAGGAGCCACCCTGGGCCATCTCGGGGCCCTCTCGGGGCCACCTTGCCTGGACGCTCCACATAGCCCCCCCGCGGCGCGGCCCGCCCAGACCCATGGAAGGAGGAGGAGGAGGAGGAGGAGGAGGAGATGGAGGAGGAGGAGGAGGAGGAGGAGGAGGAGGAGAAGGAGAAGGAGGAGGAGGAGATGGAGGAGGAGGAGGAGGAGGAGGAGGAGGAGGGCGAGGGCGTCGGGCTGCCCGAGGCCGCAGGCCGTGCCGCTCGCTCCCCGCCCGCCCGCTCGCTGCGGTCGGGCCGAAGCACTTCGCCGCGGATGGTTCCGGGCCAGGGCCCGCGGGGGGCCCCGACGAGCCCGAGCACGGCCCAAGGCCTCGGGGCCCGCTTCCCTCGGGACCCGCTCTCGCCTGGGCGAGCCCCTGCAGGGAGAGGCGCGCTCCTCGCGAGCGAGAAGCCAGTCGTGGTCGTGGTCGTGGTCGCGGTCGTCGTCGTCGTCGTCGTCGTCGTCGTCGTCGTCGTGGTCGTCGTCGTCGTCGTCGTCGCCGTCGCCGCCGTCGCCGTCACCGTCGTCGTCGTCGTCGCCGTCGCCGTCGTCGTCTTCGTCGTCGTCGTCGCCGCCGCCGTCGTCGTCGCCGCCGCCGCCGCCGCCGTCGTCGTCGTCGTCGTCGCCGTCGTCGTCGTCGTCGCCGTCGCCGCCGCCGCCGCCGCCGTCGTCGTCGTCGTCGTCGTCGTCGTCGTCGTCGTCGTCGTCGTCGTCGTCGTCGTCGTCGTCGTCGTCGTCGTCGTCGTCGTCGTCCCCTGCCAGGAGCGGGCGGACGCCCGCCTGCCGAGGCTGCCGCCCAGCCCGCCGCCGCGGCGCTCGCCCGCGCGCTCGCGGGGCGGCGCGCTCGCGGGGCCCCGCGCGGCCGAGCCGGCTGGAGCCACGGGACGCGGCGAGCGAGAAGCACAAGATGGCGGGAGGTCCCGCCTGTGGATCCGCGCATCCTCCTCCTCCTCCTCCTCCTCCTCCTCCTCCTCCTCCTCCTCCCTCCTCCTCCTCCTCCTCCTCCTCCTCCTCTCCTCCTCCTCCTCCCTCCTCCTCCTCCTCCTCCTCCTCCCTCCCTCCTCCTCCTCCTCCTCCTCCTCCTCCTCCTCCTCCTCCTCCTCCTCCTCCTCCTCCTCCTCCTCCTCCTCCTCCTCCTCCTCCTCCTCCTCCTCCTCCTCCTCGACGCGCGGGACCTCCCAGGAGCCCACGGGCGTGGCCACTCCGCAGCCGCGCGGGGAGCTGCGAGGAGGTCCCGCCTCTGGATCCCCGCGCTCCTCGACGCCGCGGGGCCTCCCAGGAGCCCACGGGCGTGGCCACTCAGCAGCCGCGCGGGGAGCTGCGAGGTCCCGCCTCTGGATCCGCGCACTCCCTCCCCTGCTCCGCGGTGGCTCCCAGGAGTCCTCCTGCGGGGGACTCGGGTTGGCCTGACGGGGCCATCAAACAAAAATGACGAGGCTAGAGGCCACCTAGATGGGGTCCGAAAAGGTGGGGTCGGAGAATCGCGCCGCATCGCCGATACACCGGCGATGCATCGGCAATGCATCGGCGATGTATCGGCGATGCATCGTCGACGTCGGCGATACATCGGCGCCATCGGCGTCGAAAAACTCGGGCTCCACATCGAGCCGCATCAGCAATGCATCGGCGATGCGGCGCGACCCTCCGACCCCATCCACTCCGACAGCATCTGGGAGGCCTAGATTATGGCAGGAGGTTTTTGTCTGGACTCGGGTTGGCCTGACAGGGCCATCATGAAAATGACGACACCCAATCTGAAACTTGACGCGAACTCCCGCTGCAAGCATCCCACGAAAACTGGACCGTCAGAATCCACATCGCGCTCGCCAAAAAGCGTAGGTCAACCCGAGTTCTGGCGTACTCGAGTCTTACGTTTCCCAGGATGTTCCTCCATAGTCTACCCCTGGGGCCCGCTCGGGGCCTCGGGACCGTCGAACGACGACCCAGGATGAAAAAAAAAAGTCCTTGGAAAATGGGTCGAGGACCGTAAGGGGTCGACGTCATGAAGAAACCATGACGTCGGGGATCAAGGATTCACGCTCAATCGGCACTTTTTCTCATCGATCACCAGACGTTAGCGCACGATGATGATCTCTAGGGACGGAGCTTCGAGGACGTAGAGGCTCCCATGAGTTGATACCGAAGGGAGGAACGACGGGTGGCGACATCCGAACAATGCCCCCGCCAACCATCGTCTCTCCTGGGTCGATGTGACGTGGCGGTGGGGTGCGGATTTCGCCACGTGCCCGACGAATTCCGGACCCTTCTCCCGCCGCCCATCGCGCTGCCTGACTCGCTGATCGGAGTTTGCCGCCGAGCGAGGGGGTCGGGCGCGGCATCGCAGCAGTCTGCGCGCACTCGTGCCGAATTTGGACACCCGAGATGGGCACGGAAAGAATGGGCACTATGCCCAACAACAACTGTTGTCCCAAGCCAACAGCGGCCGCTGCTGGGCAGGCGGCCTTCTGTCTCGAATGGACACGGGCCGCGGCGGCGTGGACGGCGAATCCTGTTGAGAATGAACAGGAATTGTCGTTGGGCATTGCGCCCATTCTTTCAGTACGGCAGGTTCGTGTCGTGCCGACCCCAGCGTTGGTTTTTGACACCGCAGGGATCGTGCAACCTTGAACGCTCGGCCGCTGCCGCAGCGTCCGATCGTTCAACGTCGATCGATTCTGGGTCGCCGGCGGCGTTCAACCTGGAACGCCCGCGCTGGGGTCGCCGCTGGTCGACACGACGCAAACCTACCGTACCCATCTCGGGCGTCCAGGCCGAAGGCCCTCGCCCTGGAGATCCGCGGGTGCACGGCCTCGGCTCGCCGAGCCCGCGGGAATATATATCGGCTCGCCGGGGCTCGGTTCGGCGGGGCTCGGCTCGACGGGGCGCTTCGTTCGCCGCGGCTCGCCTCCCCGGGGCCTCGGCTCGCCCGACTCCGAGTCGGGCAACGATTTTGGCAACGAGTTGTAAATCCCCCGCCTAACTCAAATTTGGCAACGATTTTGGCAACGATTTCGGCAACGAATCTGGCAACGACTTACAGAATCGAGTCACTCGATTCACCCAGCTCGGTTCGCCCGGAAAGAGGTTCGCCCGACTCGCTCCGCCGTGCCCAGGTCATGCGCGCGACCGACAAAGTTCGGGCGCGCGAGCGGGAACGACCGAAACTTGTTGTTACCGAAGCAACTTCGGTCGCTATCGGTGGCGCCTGGTAACGGTCGCAGAGCCCATGTCGCAAATTTCGGCAACGGTTCGTTCGTGAAACAAGCGCGCGAATCTGACAAACGAGCTCTCCGCGACCGACCGTTACCGACCGTTACCGACCGTGCGTTACCGACCGCTGCCAACCGTTACCCACCGCTACAGATTTGTTTTCGTCGTCATCATCTCCATATGGAATATAAACAAGTTTATCCTCGCCACCACCATCAGCACCAGCATCGGCCTCATCCCCATCATATATATATATATATATATATATATATATATTCCATGATCATACATATATTCCATGATATCATACCGTTCTGTCTCTCTCTCTCTCTCTCTGCCCCTATCGGTTCCTCATTCTGCCGTCCGGGAAGACTGCCAATGCAGACAAGGGTCGGCAAGAGCGCCTTTCCATATGATGCAGGACCCTGCGCATCGCATCGTCATCGTTATCACCAGCATGAGCATCACCGCAAAAGCCATCATCATCATCAGCCTCATGATCCTCATCACCACATCAACACTATCATCATCATAGTCACCATTGGCATCATCATCATCATCATCATCATCATCATCATCATCATCATCATCATCATCATCATCATAGTCACCATCGGCATCATCATCATCGTCCTCGCCAGCGGCATCGTCATCGACACCGTCAGCATCAACATCATCACCACCACCCAGGGCGAGAACTGCAAACGTCTGTGGCAGGCGCGCGCGCGCGCTGGTGCCAACACGTCGTGGACAACAACCTCGCCGGGGCACGACGGGCACACCGACGCTGCGCGGTGTAACGAAAATGCGATCGGCGCAGATGACAAACCACAGCAAGTTTACAACGTACACCGTCTCCACCTCATCAGCATCATCATCACCATTACCATCATCATCATCATCATCATCATCATCATCATCATCATCATCATCATCATCATCATCATCATCATCATCATCATCATCATCATCATTCATCATCAGCATCATCATCTACCTACGGAGGGGGAGTTTGAACCCCCCCCTCCGTCACGGGAGGGGGGGGGGGTTCGAACCCCTCCCCCCGTCCATCCAGGGGTGGGGGGAGGGGGTCTGGTTCCAACCCCCCCCCCCCTCCAAGCTACCACAGAACGCGCTCTTCCAGTAGAGTCAATGGGGAACACTTAGAATCAAATATAGTCAATTGAAATCAACTAGACTCACTTGGAATCAATCGGAATCAATTAGAACCATGAGGAATCAATCAAAGTCAATGGGAATCAATGAGAACAAATAGGAATCAATCAGGAACAATGAGACTCAATTGAAACCACTAGGAATCAGTCGATTCAGTAGGAATCAATCAGAATCAATGAGAATCAATTAGAACCAATGGGAATGAATTAGAACCAATAGAAATCAAGAAGGATCAATAGGGATCAAGTGATATCAACAGGAATCAATTTCAACCAATAGGAATCAATAGGAACCACTCAGGATCAAGTGGACTTGATAGGAATCCATGAGGAATCAATAGGAATCAGTTGGAAGCAAGAGGAATCAGTTGGAATCAATTGGAAGCAATAGGGATCAACTAGAAGCAACAGAAATCAAGCATAATCAATCG